CAAGGAAAGATCAGTCATTGGCACTAGATGGGTCTTTAGAAACAAGTTAGATGACCTTGGTACTATAGTCAGAAACAAAGCAAGGCTAGTGGTGCAAGGGTACAATCAACAAGAAGGAATTGACTATGATGAGACGTTTGCACCAGTAGCTAGGCTAGAGGCTATTAGGATTTTAATTGCTTATGCTGCTCACATGAATTTTAAGCTGTTTCAGATGGATGTAAAGACTGCCATCCTCAATGGATATTTAAAGGAAGAAGTATATGTGGAGCAGCCACCTGGTTTTGAAGATGCACTGTTCCCCCAACATGTGTACAAGTTGGACAAAGCATTATATGGGTTGAAACAAGCTCCGAGGGCTTGGTATGAAAGATTGTCCAATTTCTTGATGGCAAATGATTACAAGAGGGGAACAGTAGACAAGACCTTGTTCATAAGAACCAGGGGGAAACACTTGATTGTAGTACAAATTTATGTTGATGATATTTTATTTGGTGCTACTAATCAGGTTTTATGTGATGAATTTGCTAATCTTATGCAGAGTGAATTTGAAATGAGCATGATGGGAGAACTAGGATTCTTCCTAGGGTTGCAGATTAAGCAAATGGATGATGGAATAATGATCCATCAACAAAAGTACTCAAAAGAGTTGCTGAAAAAATTCGGCATGGAGAACAGCAAAGCTTATGATACACCTGTTCCCCCATCTACAAAATTAGATGCTGATCTTAAGGGAAAAGATGTTGAAGCTTCCCTTTATAGAGGAATGATAGGTTCTCTACTTTACCTAACAGCTAGTAGACCTGACATTGTGTTTTCTGTTGGTTTGTGTGCTAGGTTTCAAAGCAATCCAAAGGAATCTCACTTGAAGGCTGTTAGAAGGATACTTAGGTATCTTGTAGGAACAGCAAATCTGGGATTGTGGTACCCCAAAGGCAGTACCATTGATCTTATTGGATACACAGATGCAGATTATGCTGGTTTCTTAGTTGATAGAAAGAGCACATCAGGTATGGCACACTTTCTTGGCTCTTGTCTAATTTCATGGGGTTCTAAAAAGCAAAATTCAGTGGCCCTATCCACAGCAGAGTCTGAATATATAGCTGCAGCTTCATGCTGTTCCCAGCTACTGTGGATAAGGAACCAGCTGAAAGATTTTGGTGTTATTTATAAAAGTGTTCCTATTTTTTGTGATAACACTAGTGCAATCAATATTTCAAAGAATCCTATGCAACACTCCAAGACAAAACACATTGAAATAAGACACCATTTTTTAAGAGACAATGTGGAAAAAGAATTGGTGGAGATGTTGTTTTGTAAAAGTGAAGATCAAATTGCTGATATCTTCACAAAGCCTTTGTGTAGAGAGTCTTTTTGTAGGTTAAGAGTCCTTTTAGGTCTAGTTAGATTTTAGGTATTGGCTTCAATTACTTCCTTCAATGATTGGTTAGAATGGTATTCTCTTGTATAGTGTGTGTACATACTTATGTTGATATCTTTCAAGTGTTGTGTAGATGGTTCAAAATCTCAAAAGGATTGAGAATCATTGTTGTAAGAAACAGGTGAAATCAGGCTGAATTGCCAGAAACAGCGTGACATGGTTCTATACAGGTACCAGCAAAGGGAAACAGCAGACCAGCTCTGATATGTCATCCGATAATATCTTTTATTTTCGGAAGATTACTATAAGATATTTCATTTTGGAAGGAATTTATCTTATTTCAGTTATTTAATCCCATATAAAAGGCAAACATATCATATGCCTTATTTATAGTTGGTTGAGATAATTATGGTAAAAGATAATTACCAAATTTTTTATTTCAATTTAAAAATATCCTTTACAGTTGCTTTTTATTGGCTCAACTAACTCTTTTCTTTCCTTCTTCTCTCTTTGTGCTTCATTGTTAAAAATATACACTAACCCTTTGTGCAGATCATCAATCATCATCACTCGAAACTCTCTTTCTCTCTCTCGTATGCTTTAAATTCATCATTGTTCATTCGGTTACTGTTCACTCAAGGAACCAGCTCAGTCTCAGGGGGAACATCAGAAGGAAGCTCAAATGTCCTTAAGCCCGAAGTTGGAGGAAATTCGGAAAAGTCAGAGTGAAGAGGATGAATTAGAGATTGTTGGTTACAATGAGAAGACACTCATTGTTAAGACCATGGTACGAAGTAGAGTAACTCAATCTTCATTAAAGAAGTTCACTGAGAAGGTGTAGGAGGAACAGTCCATTAATTCTCTTCCGGAAACCAAGAGAAAAAGGGTACCAGCAAGAACCTTTCACACCACAAAAGGGTGGAGGTCTTTGCTTGATTGATGTGATGCTAGTCTTGTACTCTTTATGCAACAAGGAGAACTTTATGAATAAGTGCGGATCTCTCATGATTTATAAAAAAAAAAAAAAAAAAAAAAAAAAAAAAAAAATAGAGGAACCAGCAGGTCAGGAAGTGGTTTTGAAACAGATTGGGGAATCACAAGAATATGCTTAGTAATATAATGATTTTGGTTTAAGCAGAGCATGGTGACAAGGATAAAGAGGAATCAGATGATAATACAGAAGATGTTGCAAAGTTCGAGGAGGAGGAAGGGAACGAGAATGATGATGAGGAGTGATGCTGTTTCTGTTCTTGTTTCCTCACCCTCATGTTTATTCTAAAATAACTGATTTTGTTGGTCTGTCTACTTCTCTCCATTCCATGAACTTTCTTTTTGGATGGATTTGGGCTTCTTTGGTTGAACTTTGTTGGCTTGTATGAACTACTAACTCTGCTATGGTATGAATTGTTTGACTAATCTCTTTTTGCAGCATAATGCTTGAATGGTGGTTGATGACATTGTATGGATAAGCACATTAACTTGTGCACATTGCTTTTACTTGTGGATACTTTTTAATGATGCCAAAAGGGGGAAGTAGTCTGAAGTTGAAGCCTAAGGTTTAGCTAGTTTAGATTGAGTCAGTTTGAGTCTTTTTATTTCGTATTTTCTTTTTTCTGTTTAGGGAACCAGTTGGCCTAACTGACTTGTTCCAAAGAGTCTTGAGTCCTTTGGCCTAATTGACTTGTTCCAAAGAGTCTTGAGTCCTTGAAGTTTTTGACGGTTTTCCTTTTGAGCATGTCCACAGGTTCAGGAACTTCAAAAGTTTGTCATCATCAAAAAGGGGGAATTTGTTGAGTCCCTTAGGTTTTGAATGATGGTTTTGAATGATGACAAACAGCTATGGGAAACAGGTTTTAATAAGTGTTGAAAACAGTTGGTTGGAACCAGCTATAATAGAACACTGTTTCCCTAGATAAGTTATTGACTATATGAGTTATCTATTGAACTAACTTATCTATATACAGGAAACAGTTAGATGATAAATGTGCTATGTACTGGTGGGGAACCAGTATGAACCGTTTCCTCGACTGCTATGCGGAAAAGCAGTCACTTACTTTATATTGTGCATTAACCTTGTTGAATGTGCAGTATATAAGTTGATTCCAAGTCTTGAAGCAGATAGGACTTTCGAAGAGATTGAAGAAAGATCCATTGGTTACAATTGAGGTTATTCAAAGAAGGTTTTCAAGACTTGAAGTTTACATGAAGGAAGACTATATCACAAAAGAGTTATTTAGGATCTTCATGTAAATGCTCCGTAGTATAACTTATATAATTGAGTATATAAAGTGCTTTTAGTATATTGAGTATCGTTATGAAATTTGGTACAAGGTTTGGAACAAGTTTCATAACATATTCAGTTCAGGGAACCAGGTCAGGGAACCAGGTTAACTGAACAGATTATTCAAGCTGCCGTTTCACAAAGATTTTACAAAAAGGATAATTTCCGAAAAATATTGATTTAAAATATATCCAAGCAGCTAAGAATAAGATAATATTTTTGGTTAGCTAAAAACTAGGAAGTATTTTATCCTAAATTGATTTTATCTTGTGATCAAATCAATTAAGATAAATACTTACCATAAATCATATATATCTTATATGCATGATTTAAGGTAACTAGGGTTTAACTAACCAACCTATAAAATACATCTTATTCTGAATAATCAGATATACATCTCTCACGAATTAAAAGAGTTATTATTTTGAGAGCTTAAAGCACTAATTCAATTATCAAGTCATATACAAGAGCATTCTAGTACTTAAATATTTTCTCTTAATTAGCTTCGTAGAAGTGAGATCAAAGGAGAGTTCTTGATTCTTGTATTGAGTCTTTAACAAAGGGGTTAAAGGCTGGGTGAGTGTTTGTGAGTTAAAACACATTGGGCTTACGAGTGTAAGTCGAGAGCACACTCGGAGTAGAGTGTGGGGTTTGCTGGTTCCCGGAGTAGGGAAACAGCAGAGTGTTCTTTGTCTTTGTTTTTCGGAGTAGATTAATAAAGAACTTAGGATAGGAGGACGTAGGCCTAAGTTGGCTGAACCTCGTTAAATTTGTTGTCTTCTTTATTGCTTATTTATATTCCGCTGCATAAGGGAACCAGCACAACTGGTCCCTTAACCATAATTCGAAAAGAAGCAAAATTAGCCAACGATTACTTAACACTCAATTCACCCCCCCCCCTCTTGAGTGCCCATTGAACCTTCAGAACTATAAAGTGAAAAGAGGAAAAGGCGTTGGGTACGTGATATTGGAGTATCATCATCCATTTTAGTCCATCTAATTATTAGGAATCTTAAAAGATAAGCTGGCTGGATTTGCAAGTTGCAAGCACACAAAACACAGGAATCTTAAATGACTGAATTTTTATAATTTCAGTCATTGAATTTTCATTGAGGCTCATCTCAATTCTGCTGGTTTAATATATTCACCTGCATGTTTTCAGCTAGTACATCTAGTCTGTAGATTTTTACAGTTGCTGTTTTGCAATATACTACTGGTTGCTTGTTTGCATCTTTGAACATTCATTGTTTTTTCTTTAATTTTATGGGTCATGTGACATCTATATGATTCTTTGAATGTCTTATTAAAATTATTTTTTATCATTTAATTTTTTTGTAGGCATCATCATAATGGGCGATGGGTAGCACAAATTGGGCGCGTTTATGAGAACAAGTACCACTACTTAGGCACTTTCAGTAATGTCCTGAACTCTATTTCTCTCGTGCTTGCTCTTGTTCTATGAGATTTAGGATCACGAGCACACACGCTTGATAAATATTTCATTTTTGTTTGATAAATACAATTTGATGTTAGCTACAATCTTGAATTAAAACTTTCCTCTTGTATATTTGTTGTGTTTATAGGATTTTTCAAGAACTACACTGTACACCGAGGAGGAGATAAATGAGATCTGAGATATTTGGGCAGAGTATTTTATATGTAATGTTGAACTTTAGATTTACCACTTAGCACATGTTTGACTCTTGTTTTGGATTATAGGCTTGAAATGAAGTAATTTGGTTAATTGGTGTTGGGATGGTGAGTATAATGTCTATGATATTGAGATGTAAATTATTGGACAGGTTGTTAATATAATGCCGTCATTCCCAATTTTATGGGTAGGCCAAATTACAAAGGAGACTCTGCCGAAATTTACATTTGCATTATTCAATAATATTGCATTTTAATTTCAATTATATTAGCGTTATCATATTACTTTATACCTAGGAAAACAGGTACTATAAACATATACAAGGCAATTATTATATTATAATTAAAAAAAAAAAAATTCACCTCATTTGTGTCACTCATTAAACAAACAAGTGACGCAAATACAACAGTTTTGTATTGTCTAATCAGTCATTTGCGTCACTCCTATATAAACAAGTGATGCAAATAACAAAAAATAAGTTAATTGGAAGAGTCATTTGCGTCGCTTGTTTATAAAGGAGCGACGCAAATAACAAAAAAAGTTTATCTGAAGAGTCATTTGCGTCGCTTGTTTATAAAGGAGCGACGCAAATGACTAAAAATAAGTTTATCAGATCAGTCATTTGCGTCGCTCTTTTATAAAGGAGTGACACAAATAACAAAAAATAAGTTTATCTTAAGAGTTATTTGCGTTGCTCCTTTATAAAAGAGTGACGCAAATAACAAAAAATAAGTTAATCAGAAAAGTCATTTGCGTCGCTTATTTATAAAGGAGCGACGCAAGTGACAAAAAATAAGTTTATCAAAAAAGTCATTTGCGTCGCGCCTAGGAGCGACGCAAATGACTCAAAAGTCATTTGCGTCGCGAGCAGTTGCGTCGCTCATAGAAGCGACGTAAATACACTATAAATGAGCGACGCAAATAAGCCTTTTTCTACTAGTGGGAGCAAACTGTCAGGAAATTTATCTGGCAGAATATCATCACTCGTTTCGGCATCCCGAAAGTGTTTGTCTTTGATCATGGAAGGCAATTTGATAATCTGTCGCTGAAGCGGTATACAGATCAGTTCGGCATCAAACTGACATATTCAGCGGTATGCCACCCGCAAAGTAACGGACAAGCCGAAGCTGCAAATAAACAGATTCTGAATGCCCTCAAAAAGAGGGTGGAGGATCAAAAGTCCAAGTGGCTGGAGGAGCTCCTAGGAACTCTCTAGTCCTTCGGACAACCGAAAAAGAAGCAACGGGCCATTCACCCTTCGAATTGGTGTACGACGCCGAAGCTGTTCTCCCTGTGGAAATTGGCACTGAAAGCCTGCGGGTGCACCACTTCTCGGCCGAGAATGAGCAACTTATGAAGGAATCTCTCGATTTCCTTGACGAAGTAAGAGACTCGGCCCGAGTCAGAATGGCTGCGTACAAGCAGAGAATCGGCAAATTTTACAACCGAAGAGTTCAGGCAAGGCCTCTCAAAATTGGAGACCTCGTCCTTCGGAATGCTGCTGCGGTACAGAAAAGCCGAATTCATGGGAAGCTCTCAGCTGCTTGGGAGGGACCCTATGAAATCTATGATGAGCTTCAGCCGGGAACATACCGACTTCGGCAGTTGGATGGAACTGAGCTGAAAAACCACTGGAATGCTGATGTACTTAAAAACTTTCATGTGTAAACCCTTCGGGGCAGAACAATCCTTGTAAGTACATTTTTGAATTATTAATGAAAGGCCTCCGAGCCACTATTTTCTACAAACATTTGCAATATTTACTCTTCCATTTTTTCTTTATTCCCTGTGTTTGAGATATCCATTTTTAGATAGACAGAAAATCAAGAGCAAAAGCATAAACTGATAGGAAATAAGCAAGGAAAAGAGAATTGGTCTCAGAAATCAGAAGATCAAGTCTTCAAATCTCTGGGGGGGCAAGAAATACAATAAGTGCAGACTGCCTCAGCTGAGACCTCTAAGCCGAAGCTTTGTACTTAGAAAAAAAAAAATCATAAACATAAGTGTTTTAAGTAAAGTGAAAGATAATAAGAGGAAAATTCAAGCATGCAAGTTCAAAGCAAGGCAATAAGAGGAAAATATCAAATTCATATACAGGAAATCATGCTTGGATTACGAGCTACAAACATAAGTGTTTCAAGTAAAGTGAAAGATAATATCGGCAGCCGCCCACAAGCGGAAAATAACAGCTGCTGAAATGTGTATAAGGCAAAAAAATAAATAGTTTGTACACTGAGGCAAGTTGAAGCAAAAACAAAGGCAAAAAACATTCAGAAGCGGCATCTATCATTTTAAGATCACGTTGATCCGCAAGATTCTAAAGACGACTGCCCGAGTCCCTAGGCTTCAGCTGAAGGGTCAGGCCTCCCAGCAAGGTTGGAGTCCAGCGCGGCATCAACCTCAGCTGCAGAAGAGGCGGGTTGAACTGGAGCTTGGACTTCAGCCTCCTTCATCTCAGCCTCCTTGGCCGCAGCATCCTCGGCCAGGAGGCGGGCTAGCAGATCGACCTCAGCTTGGCTAGCCTGCTGCATGTGAGGATTCTTGGGGTCTTCAGCCCAGATTTCACATTGATACCAATCCAGGTCAGGTGCAGCATGGAGAGCCAGCCTCCGAGCCACCCCATAGCCATTGAGGTAGGCAGTGGAGTACTCAGCCTGGGTATAAATTCTAAGGGCTAGCTGAGCCTCAGCATCGGCTAGCTTCTTCTGTACCTCGTCCAAGGCTTTCTGGGAGGACTCCCGCTGTTCCTTCAACTGAGCCTCGGCATCAGCAAGCCGCTGCTCAGTCTGCTCGGCCTTGTCTCGGGCCTGAGAGAGTTGTTCCTCTTGGTTCTTCAGTTGAACCTCCAGGCTGGTGATGCTCTGCCGCTGAGACTCTAGCTGGACCCCGGCCTCGACCATATCTTTCTCCCTCCTTTCGCAGGCTTGGCGGTGTTGATTGGCATCAGCCTCCAAGATCTTGATCTTCTGCCGAGATATTTCTTCTCGGGCCAGCACTTGGGATTGAACCTCAGTGTCGATTTTGTGCTGGATCTTGGCTTTGAGGCTAGGGACGTCAACCGCGCCGAAAGCTTTGAGCAGGGCCTCACCCTCGTCTGCTTGAGGGAAGACATCTTTCTCCATTTTAGCACAGAAAGTGTTGAAGGAGTCGATCACAACCCTTGCCCTATCCTCGGCTTTCTCCTGCTTCAGCTGGGCAAGCTTTGCCTCTGTCTCAACGATGTCTACCCTCTCCTGAAGTGTGTCAATCATCTCAAAGGTCATGGTATGATTGTAGACAACCTGCGGAGCTGGGATTAAATTTAAGTTAAATAAATTCACAAGTAAATCGAAACTGCTGAAGGTGCAGAATCTTATTACATACCCGCATTAGCAGCCTCTGGTTGTCTCGGGCAGGATCTGGTACTGAGGGACCGGGTTCAGCAATCTCGGCGGTTTCCCGAACAGATCACTCTCGGACTTGCTCCATTTTTGATAATTCGAAGCAACCGCCGAAATAAGCCTCGGCGCTTTCCTTGTACTTCCCCCAGATTTCGGCCCTAACGCCAGCTGGGATAGAGCACTTCTTGGCTGAAAACCCCATGTCCCCAGACTGGAAAGACTTGAAAGAGAGGAGCGAAGTTGATGGGACCTCATCCATTTTTTTGGGCTTAGTCGTCGCCCCTCCTTCAGCATGGTCCCCTCCAGTCAGGACCCCTTCAGCCTCCCCGAGAGGTTGACTTGTCAAGGCGTCAACCTCCCGCTGGATCTCAGCAGTGAAGCCCCTAGGGGCCTCGTCTTCAGCAGTAGCCGCCTCTTCGGCTACTTCAGCAACCCCAACCTCAGGGAGCTCAGCAGCACTCCCCTTGTTGGAAACCGCTTCGGGAACCCCCTCCTTTAGATCAGGAGTCCGCTGGTCCACCTCCATGTCAGCAGTAGGAGGAGGTGGTGGAGGGGTCCTCGGCGGTGATGGAATTGGCGGTGGTGGCTAAGTCGGGGGCGGAGGACCCCCTGTACCCCTTGGAACCCTGCCTCGGCCAGCAGCAGGTTCCCTTATGACAACGCCAGGCATTGGCCTCAGCGTGAAATCTCCTAGACCCACAACAGCTGGGTCCGTCCTTCTTCTCTTCCTCTGTTCAAGAGGTTGGTCGTCCATGTCGTTAGAATCTGAAGAGTCGAGTTCTGAAAGGTCGTCTGACGACTAGGGAGCCTTCCCTTCCCTCCTTCTGCCTTCTTCCTCAGACTGTAGAAGTGGGGGAGCAAGGAAGGATCAGTATAAAAAAATAAAATATAAAAAAAAACAACAACAACAAAAAGAAGAAAAAGGAAGAAAAAGCAAGTTGCTGAAGGCCTTACCAAAGTCCTCGGATGAGCCTCGGCAGCACCAGAAGTCCCTTCACCCCTTTCTAGGGAATTGATGCCTCTGGTCACTTCCGCAACAGCTTGAGCAGCGAGCACTTCTTTGGGTAGCAGAGGCCTCAAAGGATCATGCTTCTCCCACCAAGGCTTCTGCTTCAGATAATCTGTAGCAGCCTCGATCTGAAGGCCCGTTGAGTGTAAGTGTAGTGGGCGGTCCTTCGGAGCAGTGATCGCTGGAGCTCGGTCTAAGATGACCCTTTCAGCATTCACTCCTAGTCGATCGTAGTCGATTCTGGAGGTGGCCTCGCTCAACTCTGAAAGGAAAAGGCGAAGGTTAGCCTTAATGAATAGACAAAACAAATGAAACAATAACAAAATAAATAGTCCTCGGCCCCAGCCGAAGGTACTTACCGCTCTATGCTTTCGGCTGAGGCCGACAACCGCCAACATCTTCTCTTGGAAGACGTAATGGTTATCTGGAAGCCATCTGGTTGGGATGAACTTCATTCGGCCAGTCCCCCCAGGATTCTTCTGCTTCCCGAAGAAGCTCATCTGCTCATAGCTGGGATGACGAGCGGCATCAGGGTCTTCGGGGCCCAAATCCTGCATGTTCGGATCGGGCCTGGAGAGATAACGGGGAGCTCCAAAAAAATGGGGGTGCTCCGGATCAGCTGGAGCCCTTACCCAGATCCATTGGCCTCTCCAATCCTTATCCGAAGAATTGTTCGGCCACATAGTCAAATATTGTGGATGGCTCTCGATTCGCCACCAGCCGGGCCCATGATGACTGTATACGCTCTGGGTGTTCTGCACCAGTTGGTGCATCCTTCGGAAAGAGTGCAAGTCCGGTTCATCGCCAAAAACCCGGCATACCCAGAGATAGGTCATCACCCGTCGAATACTAACGGGTGTCAACTGGCATAGG